CTTGAATTAAATAAAACGCTACGGGGTGAACCCTAAAGGAAATTTTTCTTCGCTAGGATAAATCAATATAATAATGCCACGATTGGGATTGTGACCGGGGGTGTAACCGGGATCGATTTAAATAATAAGAATACTTTAGTGAGAGGTAAAAGAATGTTTAATCATTATTCAAATAAAGTGGATGGACAATATGATAAAGAAAATAATAAAGATGGATAATAAAATGATAACAGGCTCCTTTTACATAAGTTGGCCTAAGCAAATGAAATTTATATAAAAACTCTATTAATTATAATACTTTTTGACACGTACTAATATTAAAACAGGAATTTAATAGTAACTATATTTATTCACACAAATTATAAATGAAATCAATTATTATAAAAATGATTACGATTAACATCAATCAATCACTGACTTATATTAATATAGAGTGTAGTCGCCTTACCAAAAAACCGTTGACAGGCGAAGTGCCCCCTTTGACAGTCTGGGGCCAAATGTCTTCCTTTCGGTCAACTCCTACCTCAGTCCCTCCAAAGTACAATTGCTAAGTCTACGGTTTTTGTGGGTCGATCGATTGAGCAAGGTACGTGTCATCAAGAATTCTGTCTACTAAATGCCAATGTTCTGACACTGGTATATGAATCGTGAAATCCATTTACCAGGTCTTTTACTTTTGAAATATAATCCCAAGATTAAGAAAATAATTTTTGGTGACTACCCGTCACAATAACACGCTTTTATATCCTTTCAGAATAACAGTTCCATTGACACTTGTGTTGTTCCAACAAGCGAAACACGATGAATGCAAGTTAAATGTACAGAATACAAAGCTCAGTATTGCGGTAAATTCGTTGAGTAACACAATTCAATTACAATTTTGATACTTTGAGTATACATAGCTCATTTGCGTTTTTTGTTTCCCCCGTTAGTTAAAGGAAGATAATTTTTCCCCTGAACTGAAAAAAGTAATACCTGAAACAATTACAATGTCTGTAGGCCTAGTCTAGCCGTCTTTAGTTATAAAAATAGTACGTACGTAAGAAGTTAAATTTTTTTGAAATTTTAATATGTATTGCAATTTGGACTATTTGAATACTAAAGAGTGTATTAAACAAAGCATAAAATGAATTTAGAAACAATGTCTCAAGTTAATAAAGTAGCAGTTGAGGTTAAGACCATGTCACTTATACCATAGATATTGAACCTTACGGCAAAATTGTGCCAAGTCGTTTTTGGATGAGGCCACCTTCACGTAGTTGGGTGGTCCCTCAACAGAGGCGCTGTGTCATCTGCATTACCATTCAAGTTCGGGTGAGTTCGGTAATGTTCGCGTGCTCGGGATTAACTTTTCTGTACCATTGACTATTGATAACACAAAAATGATGATTAACAAAAATGATACTATTAATAACAACTCTATCGACCAAGGAAGATGCAGGATATAATGTCCACCAGTACCCTTGCCACTCAAATAACCCTCAAAATCAAAATCAAAATTTTATTGGGCCATTCAACATTTAAGTAATAGGCTAGGTCACAAATTATAATCCTCTTGGGTCCTCTTGACGTACAATAGTCAGTCCATAATAATGAAATAAAAACATGCACAAACATCATGCAGAAAACACTAAAATATATATAAAAATAAGTAAAAAAAGTAAAAAAGATCTGATACCAAACACGACATGCAAGAACAGGCTGCTATAAATCACTTTATTCAAGTCCAATCGTCATTGGTGAGAAATCTGCTTCGTTATACTCACTTAGGCTATATAATGGGTTTTCTAAAAGCCAGTTTGTAATGATTTTGGCACACATGCAATCAACGCTATAATATAATAAATTTTTGGACACTTCTTCACTCTTGCTAATCCATCTAACAAACCTCCTGTTACTTACATAAGCAAAAGCAAACAACCATAAATAAAGGTTAACCATAACAATAAATAACAACAAAAAATACGTAAATAACAGCTGGTCGTGTCGGCAATGAAGTCTTAGGTTGTGAAGACATTCGCTAGGCTTCGCATGGAAATTGATATCACAAAAATGGCTCTGCTGCAATATCTATTTTGCGTTAGCATGTGTAATCTTTGCTTATACCTAACATCTTGTATAATAAAATACTTTTGCGTTGCTTCCAATTGTATATACAGGGTGAATAAAAAGTCAAGACCCCCCCCATCTAATATTTTTCCAAGTAAATATACAGAGATATACTTTTGGGGGTCGTGCAATCTTAGCAGGAAGTTTCATTTTATGATTTTGAAACTTTTGAGTGTCCCCCCTTCAAGTGACACCTCATTTTAAAGGGTTTACAAAAACGTAAAGAATGGTGAAAACTAGAGGTCGCTATCTCTTCTCTATCCAAAGTTGTCCAAAATTGACATTGTTGTGTGATAGCGAACTCTGGTTTTCACCATTCTTTAAGTTTTTGTAAACACTTCAAAATGAGGTATCACTTGATGGGGGTTTACATTGAACAGTTTTTAGTTGCCCCCCCAATCCCCCCTTTTGGGGGACAGTCAAAGATTTTAAATGTAAACCCCTATTTAGTGACACCTCATTTTGAAGTGTTTACAAAAACTTAAAAAATGGTGAAAACCAGAGTTCGCTATATCTTCTCTATCCAAAATGGTAGCCAATATTACCATTACGAACCAATGTTACCTTTGATTTTCCACAACATTTGACGGGCTACCATTTTGGATAGAGAAGAGATAGCGACCTCTAGTTTTCACCATTCCTTAAGTTTTTGTAAACACTTCAAAATGAGATGTCACTTGGAGGGGGTTTACATTTAAAATATTTTAGTTGCCCCCCAAAACACCCCTTTTGGGGGGACACTCAACAATTTCAAAATCATAAAATGAAACTTCCTGCTAAGATTGCACGACCCCCTAAAGGATATCCCTGTATATTTACTTGGAAAAATATTAGATGGGGGGGTCTTGACTTTTTATCCACCCTGTATGATGATTTTCCTTTATTTAGCTCATCATTATTGCCTGGCTTTTTATTCCTTTTTTTATTTTTTTGTTTTCTTTGTTTTGACTAAATCAATTGACGTGACCAACTCCCCTTTGAACATGAGCTGGGCAGGTGAAAATTGATTTTCTAAAGCCACTACAGTGCAGATTGGCGCAGTGTTGTGGACGAGCTGCGCCGTGCACTGCGCAGACGCAATGTTGATACACTTTCTCTCAGCCTAGTGACCGAGATCTGCTCACTCTCTCTACCCGTTCACTCTCACTGGTCCGGCGATGATGCTGTGGGCCTTGTACAGACATTGTGGACAACAATTTATGGTTACATATTTTGTGGTACCAGTGGATAACCAGTGGATACCAGTGGTAACCAGTGGGTACTGGTACCACACGATATGTAACCATAAATTGTTATGGTATATTGTAAAACAATTATTCTGACGAGAACCTAAACACTACTTTAGAAATCCGCCGTGTACAATTTCCTCACTCTCAAAGGATGCTATATTTGAAAGATTGGTTGGCTTAAAATAAGTTCAATAAAAGTATGTGCAATGAGAAATGGAATAGACTTTTAAAGTAAAAAAAAAACATGATAAATAACTTTATATATACATAATTTATAACAATACTGGTTTTCCATAGTTAGTATTGTGAGACATGTGTGGTTGTGTAGGTAAAAGGTTTACATGGTGTGCAATAAACTTCTTCTGTAAATAGTGTAAATAGTGTGTACTAACATTTTATTAATCAACAATGATAATAAAATGCCCTTTGGTAGAATGCTCACCGTGAGAGGGTCACTATTCAAATGCTGCAAGTTCATCTCATGAAAAAATATTGTGAATGTTTGACATTGACCACGTTTTTAATTAATAGTTAGACCGTTAAGTAAGGATGGTAACTACGGTTAAATGCTCATATTCTAAACAAATTCAATCGCCCATCGCTTCTTCGTCTCTGAAAATTTGTCTAAATGTTTCTGACGAAAGCATAAATATATATTTAGTAATATTTAATGGTTCACTGCATATAGGAAAACTTATTTCTTCACCAATAAAATATTTTTATCCTACGATAACTGAGGAACTTATTACTGGTTATAATAAATTGCTGGTTTGTTGATTTGTTTGTGATAAATGTAACCTAAAAATACCTATACAAAAATGCTAGTTAACTTAAAGTTGAATATTATTTTCTTCTCTTCGTAAAAATCTTGCGAAATACAGTGGACACCGTATACCTTGCAGTGATTACAGGGCAATCGTAAAAACAACTGACAATGTAAATCTTTTATCATATGGGAGAAAAACAATATTGAATCTTCGTAACTAGCCATTTTCCTCCAAAATACAACCCTTCCCTCAAAATAAACTACAGAGTGACACTATACAGCTCGTATCCCGAACTGGACACATAATGCAAAAGATCTACAAATGTAAATTTTTCAAAGGTACAAACAATATAGGAAAATCCACATCGTTACATTTCAAAAACAGCGACACTGAGTGCGTTGAATTTAGAATGTAAGAAAATCAGAAAATTGTAATCTTTCAACGGTAAAAACTATATAGGAAGATCCACTTCGTTTTCCTCCGAAAAACAGTAATTTATATTTACGTTGTAATCAGAAAGGTGTGTAAGAAATGTATGCAAAAATTTTAATATTTCTTTCAAAGGTTCAAACAATAAAGGAAAATCTACATTTGCCCTTACTTCCCTCGATAGAAACACCAGTTACACAGCGACACAGATCACGTTAATCTCAAAACAACGAGCGAGAACAAATGTAGGAAAATCAGCAGATTTTAATATTTCATTCGTAGGTACAAAAAATATAGGAAAACCCACATTTCCCTCCAAAAACGATCACTTCCCTCGAAAAATACACATCGACACCGAGTACTTTGAAGTCAGAACGGCGAGTGAGGCGAAGTGTGATAGCGGGAGTGCGAGAACCCGAGGACGTCTTGTGATTGGCTGAGAGCTAGAGTCCTGGCGGCGTGGCGGTAACACACTTCAGTATCACTCCGTCTGCGCGACAGGACACAAGCAGGATTCAGGATCAGGATCCCTACCACCATCCCCTACCAGGTAAGTCGTGATAGAAAGTGACTCATCCCCTATTGTTCGGTGGGAGGTGCAGGAAGCGACCATTATTGGATAGGTCGACTAGTAAGGATGACCCTGGGATAGTGGAAATGTCACATTGTGTCAAATGATGGGTTTCATATGCGAGAGATATAGTGAATATGTATGAGTGTTGATTCTTTTCGATTTGTTGATTTTGGAATAAGTTGTTAAGTTTTACTAGTGATGACAGTGATGAAGTTGGTTTAGATAAAAAAACTGAATGGAAGGATATTTATTTAATACTTTGATTTAGTAAAATTAATCTTAAAAAAAAAAAAAACACTAAATTATATAGATTTTTACTCGAAGAACTTTGTCGTCGTGATATTTTCGAAGAGTTTTCAACTTTTGGATATAATTTATTTATTGATTTTGGAATAAGTTGTGCGTGAATAAAACTTCACTACATAAAAACAGTGATAAAGTTAATTCCAATAAAAAACTATAAAAATTGTAAACTAATAATTTAACATTAGTAAAATTAATCTTCAAAAAAAATTCTTTGATGATAATTCTTACTTACGTTAAAATTTTAACATCGTGATATTATTGTAGGAACATCTACATTTAGGGATATATTTTCAATCAATAGTTTTGTGTAATGTTTTCAATTAATAAAAATATTTTTAAATAAAAAAAACTTTGTTATTTTCAAAAAATATATCAACTGTCACATTTACATGTAAATTAAAACTTTGTAGAACACGTTTTAGCTAACATCTTCATCGTGAATATGAAAAGAAATCGATGGTTTTTGAGACTCAGTGTGCGCTCTTACAAAGTGTATAAGTGGTGACTTCAACGAAAGGATTGACTGAAGGAGTGAAGGTGACACATAAACGGACATAGTGTACATTATACAGGGTGTCCCGGAACTCTCTACCAATATTTTAGGGCATTGTTCCTGGGTAAGAAACATATCTAAATATCATATTTAAATTGTCCGGAAGTCCTTATTTACTCAGATAGCCGCCTTATTTTAGTGATACGTGACCGCCGGATATTAGTTGCATCGCATGCTGAAAGCGGTCACGTATCACTAAAACTGCCATATCTCAGTTAATACTTGTCCGATCTTAAAGATTAAGGTGTCGATCGATTTGTAATAAATTTGCCTTAAAAAAGTTATTCTTGTAAAATGTTTGTAAAATCAACGGTTTTCGAGTAATTTAAGAAACAAAATTTTAAACAGCCGCCATTTTGTTTTATGAATTTGAAAAATCGTCATAATTTTTTTGTAGCTTTGTCTAGTTGTCATAAATGTTTGTGCAAAGTTTCAACTTCGTATGTTTAACCAATCTTCAGAAAAAAATTAATAAGTGAAAAAAACAAAATGGCGGCTATCTGAGTAACTAAGGACTTCCGGACAATTTAAATATGATATTTAGATATGTTTCTTACCCAGGAACAATGCCCTAAAATATTGGTAGAGAGTTCCGGGACTCCCTGTATATTGTGTTATCGAATAAAGGTAGTGCAATTGAATTACATTTTACGATATAGTTTTTGTTAATCTATTAATTGTGTAGTAAATTTTAAGTAATAGTCTGCAGTTATCGAAACATCCTTTAGTTAATTCACATAGTGATTCTGCAGATTAAAAGATTTTGATATTAATATATTAATGATTAAATCGAAAATTTTCGTTTTGTGAGGATATAAGTGTAGTGCATACCTAATTATAGGAAATGTTAGATAAAATGATAAATTAATTAGAAAAACAATTTTTAGTATTTAAAAGGGGTTTAAAGGCTGCGTACAAATTCAATTTACGGGGTTTATGATTTCTGTTAGTGAACTGTGTAAAAGACTAACATAATTATTTATGTATATATATATATCAGATTTAATTTATAATCCTTAATAAATCGTTTTAATTGAACTAAGAATAACAAAATTAAATAATATTTAATAGTACCTGTAACAAAAAAATATCAATTACTGTACTAAAAATTTAGTATCCGTTTGCTACCTGTTAAGTATCCTTTCGAGAAAATCTGTTTACATATATTTAGCTTTTTTCTTCAGCTACAAGAGTTTTACTAAAATTTATCTAAAATAATAGCAAATATTATATTTTTTTTATTTTTGCATTGCAAAAAATACGATTGATATAAGATTGCACTTTTTTTAGTAAATCTTTAAAAACAGTTAACAAGGTATATCCATATACAATAGTGTATGTACAAATAGCATACAAAAATATCTAAGTTTTATCACGCTTGTAATAGATTCAACTAGCTTAGCCATGTAAATTCATATTTAACCCTAATATTATTTTAAATAAATTGCAAGGTATAATGTTGGCCTTATTTGTCCTACATTTTATAGTGACTTAAGTTTACCTTTTTAGTCAAAAGAGCAACTTTTCATAAACAAATTAAAATAAAATAACTTTTTTATTATTTATATAAATAGGGTAAATAGTATTGAATTTGTACTATTTATAAATTGGGGCGTTTTCATTACCTCACCCTCTAAAAGTCTTGAAAAAATTTTTGATCCCAAGAGGAAGTAAAATCTACTTTAAGAAAAAATAAGTATTTTAGACTCAAACTCTTCTCATTCTTGAAATAATTATCTTACACAATTCTCTTCAGTGGAGAGGGTTATGTGTTGGAGGGGTGACATTTACAGTAGAAGGGGAAGAAGGTTTTGTGGAAGGGGAAGGAGGTTTTGTGGAAGGGGAAATGTGAATATCAAGTGAGTTCTTTGAAAATTTAGTGATGGAACTGTTAAAAATACACTAATTGAAAACTGTAGGCCTATCGTGCTTTTTAAATTTTCTGACAATAATAGCTTTAAAGATTTTCGCATTAGTTTAGATGTTAAAAAAAAAATGTTTGTGTCGATAATCAACAGATCATTTCGTGTTGTTTGGCTCCAAAAAATATTTAGATTTAAACCAAATAAGATTGTGTTTAGTGACCACTAATTTATACATTAGGACTAAAATATTTTGTGGTTTTGGACTTTGGAGTAAATTACCGTCAGTCGTACCATATATAGTTTATGGTTACTAACGTAGGACTATAATATTTGACTATATTTACCTTCTGAAATATATAAATAAGTCAATACAGATATGAAAATCGTATTGCATTTAAAAACATGTAAAAATGCTGAGGCAAGAAGGACCAAAAAGCTCCTACTATGTGTAATTCTAAATCTATCAATAGTAGATAAATACTTTGTTATTAAATGTTTACAATGTTATAAATAAACATGAGGTATTTTATTAAACACACATTGAACATTAAATCGTTGAGAATATTTACAAAACATAAATAAATTGTTTTCACAAATTCAATATGTAAAACAATTAAGCAGTTCACAGTAACATTAAGTAATCATCATAAAAACACAGTCGATCTTTTAACCTCACTCTAACATCGCCAAATGCTTTCAACATCCAAATAGAGTTGTGATGCGGCTACATAAACAAAGCATTAGCGGACCAAACCGGACTTGCCATTTGTGGCAGACATCGGTGTTTACAATCTTGAGAGACAGATGTTTGATAGAGATGTAGGAGGGTCGACAACACAGTCCTGGCCGTGACTCTCTCTCTTCCTCTCTCGTATCTCTCTCTTTATTTTCTCCTCTTGCTCTCTTCTCCCAGAGAAAGCAGCAGGTGTCCAGAGCTCTAGATAATCGCTATATCCCAACTCCAGGAGTTCTGGCTGATAAGGCTCGTGATAAACGATTACGTTGCCACTTCCGCTCTCTCCCTAGAGCATTGTGAGTTAGTTGAGGAAGATCACTCAAGCAAATGGTTTCTAAAAAGTGTTTGGATAGAAAATGGGAGATACGGAAGATTTAAGAAAATCTAGGTTTTTTCGGTGGGACATATCCAGATCAGAAAGCGGGATTTTTGAGACCCTTAAAAAGAGTTCAACGCATCTTGGGGCTTGATTAAAGAATACGTTGCTACTTCCGCTCTCTCCTTAGTGAATCGTTGAGATTTAGTTGAATAAAGATCAAATGGTTTCTAAAACGTTTGAATTGAATGGAAAATGGGAATTTATATGTTATATGACTAGGGGTTTGAAAGTTTAAATGTTATAACTATAAACAAATTCAGTTTATATGTGATTTTAGGTAGGGTTGAAACTTTTGTCTATTCTTAAGCCTTTAATCGAGTATGCCATTTAGTATAATGAATGAAATTCCATCTTTTGGTCGAGGAAGATCTGTCAAGAAAGAGGTTCTTTATTCTTTTTTGATGTCAAATTGGAATTTTTTTCTAATCTACTCTCGTTTATATGTTATAATTGTAGGCAAATTCTGTTAATAGGTGACAATTTATTTGTGTATTGTTACTTACAAATTCTAAAGTAGAAGTCGCATAGCGAGTAAAACTTACGAAAAATATTCACTGAAATCTGGATGCTCTGTTTCCACTTCCAAACTGTACCACCAATATAAGATCAGAAACGGTATGGATTATGAACACACAATAGTATATTACGTTACTAGTCCTGAAAATAAGTGTTTACCGGACGAGTGTGGTCGTTCCCGTGCGAGACGAAGTCGAGTACCATACGAGTCCGGTACACACATTTTGGACGAGTTACGTACGATGGTTTACGCCATACTACTAAATCCGTACAAATCCTTATATATTTCCACCAACTAAAGTTCTAAAAATCACTAGTCATAACCTCTGGTTGTGTTTTTGTTTATAACCACTCACTTCCATCTAAATACAGTATAATCAGCTGATTGGTGTCCGGTAAAACTCATTGCAGTACAGTAGTACGCAATGAAACCCGATTTGAATAAGCAGGCGGCAAACAGCTGTTTTCTGGACTAAATCCTTGCGTGGGAAGTTTGTCAAAATAATGTAGTGTGGCGTAAAAATGTTTACCTTCGGGCCAGTGATGCTATTTTTATTGATGATGTACTATACCGTTTCCGACTTAATATCCGTAGACTGTACCAATATCTAACTGAAAACG